TGTTTTTTTCTTTTTTTCTCTCTGTCTCTCTTCTTTTCTTTTCTTTTTCTTAATCGAATCGTGTTTGAAAAACTTTCACTTTAATATCGAATAACACTAAAAAAATTATTGGAATTTTTTAAATTGTCTTGAGCTATCTTGAATTCTAAGTAAAATAAAATCGCCTGTCTTTATACTTGAGTTAATGAAAACTGAGTTTCATATTGGAGCGGTCAGCAAAAATGAAATATATATAGCGGCGTATAACATCGTTCACTCCCCAGGGAACTAGTCACTGAAACACTTCAATCATAACAAGCTAAATGTCTAAGTATTCGTTGTTTCTGTAGTGAATCCGACGCTCAGAATTAATTTGAAAATTAAACAAGAAAAAAAGCGGTGCCCCATTTTTCTCACGAAGCGGCTTGGTTAATTGAAGGTGTATCTAGTGTTTGCGGTTAATAAGATATGATCCAAACAAACCTTCTTAATTAAAATGATATCAGATTGTTAGTATATTAGCCTGATATATGGATCTATATCGAAAAGATAGTTAGGTGCCAATTTGGGTGACGGTAAGGAACCTTTTTAACGACCAACGATTTTCACTTATAATGACCGACCCGCATGACACAAGTTTACTATCAAAAATACAGACTCTTACCGACTTTCTTCATCAAAATAAACATCAAAATTATCTCGTAGGTAAATGAGAGTTCCCTTGTTTAATTAAAAAAGAGGATTTCTATTTTTGAGGCTTGTCCAATGATTAGTCGAGTAAACAGTTATTGCGAGTAGCTAGTCTGATTGGAAACTTCGCAATTGCATTGGCGAATTTCCGACACTTCTATAATCCCAGATCAAACAAATACCTGGGATATTGAATACTAATATTAAAGCTAGGACTTCTTTTCAATATCATTTCGTATTTTGATATTAAGATTCACCCAACATCATAAATGGGAGACTTTTTTCTTGTCGCAGTTGAGAGCAAAATTAAATTGGAAGCTCGGTGGTTCTGGCATGTTTGCTCTATTTTCTCAGCTCGCGGAAAATCTATAGCCCACGTAATTACAAAATATGATTCTTCGTGGCAGAATGTGTCATCCATACTTAACTGATATATGTATTTTCACGAACGAATGGAATAGAAAATATGATTATCGTTGTTAGGACTGATTTATTCGATTCAAAAAACAAATTATCTCTGCTTGTGGAAAAACTCTTTTATTCTTAAAAAGTTAACGAAAGCTCCCCATTGGTGACTAGAAATGCAAACGGCTTGTCCCAGTGTAGTGCTTTGAATTCTCTTCTTATCATCCGCGTCTCGAAGACAGTCCTAATTGTCTCATTAGCAACACATCAGATTTAATTGAAAGAAGGGACCTTCTAGGATATGCTAATTAGCTAGCGATAAAGGTATCAAACCAAAAAACAGCATTGATTGAGAATTACTCAGTCCTTGGCGGACAGGCACAGCCTTTAAACCTCTCGGCTGACAAAACCTTCATAGCTGTTACGCCGGGAAAAAGAGATTTAGTAAATACTATTAGGGCTGGTGGGTTTGTAGTACACTTTAGTATCCACGAACTCGCTGGAACCATCCGAACAAGAACTGCGAACCGAACGAGTCCAAGATGTATACTACACCGCTATACATAGTACTTCCTTTAAGTATTCTTTCCATTGCCATTGTCGTCTCCAACGTTGCGGTGTGTTTTCTTGTTTGTCTGAACAAGAATCTAAGAACATTTACAAATGGTTTCATCGTGTCTCTGGCCATCTCGGATATTCTAGTCGGTGGCGTTCTCTTCCCTTGTTATTTGACTAATCCTGTTGGAACTGCTGATTTCATCGGCTATTTGGTGTCGATTATCCTTCTTGCTGGTGTTGCAAACCTCTGCACAGTGACGTACGATCGTTATTTGGCTCTTAATCAGCCTCTGGAATATTCCTTTAAAATATCCAGGATCTTCCTCAAGGTTGTGCCCGCATCTTGGATCATCCCAATCGTGTATTCTCTTCTTCCGTTGATCTGGAACACCGACCGAAGAGAGAAAATTCACAAGATCTACCTTATTGGACTACAACTAATTGGCGTCATAATCCCTTATATATTTATCATTATTGCTTATTGTACGATTTTTCGTCGTGTTCGTAGAAGCCTCAAACTCAGAAAACAGTTTTCGTTAAATTCCTCCAAGCGTTCAAAACAAGAGAGGAAAAGAGTGACAAGCGAAGCGAAAGTTGCCAAGGTATTTTTGATTGTATCTGCATCTTTTATTCTATGCTGGCTTCCAGTAATCTTCATCACCACCGCAGGAGAAATATTCGACAGAATAGACGTTATCCCAGAAGCACTGGAAATAATATCGTTCTTCACGATAGCTTTCAGCTCACTTGTGAATCCATTAGTGTATTCCTTCATGAAGCCAGATTTCAACAAAGCGATCGTGAAGGCGTTGAACCGTCATTTGAAGCGTGGAGGCAATTATACTACTAACGATCAAACAATTGCTTTAACTCCAATGTCTGTGACTGCCACCTACATTGCGGAATAAGGATTTCCTTATGGAAAAGGGCTCTTATTCGCAAACAGGTGTGTTTGAATAAAGAGACGATAGGCATCCGAACGCCAGCCATGTGACGCATTTCATGCTCACGAGCGTCGACAAAAACATTACTAATAACAGCAACTTTTATCTTGAAAACGAGCCACTACTTTCTATTTCCCAGTCGTTTTACACATGCATCTATCGGACTGGGGTTCGTCGCGTCTTTATGAACTATTTTATTCACAGCTCACAGTGTAATTATTTTAAAAGTCCTGTTAATAGCTGTTAATGTCAAATGTTCCAGACGTTCCGTGACACAGCAGCCGCTGGTGTCGAACGGAATCAGCTCAATGTACGAGAACACTTTCATTACCGTGTATCTATTTCTCCAAACAATTTTTTTATTGCTCCAGTGAAGACGTTATTATACCAGTTAGAAGCCAGAGTTTATTGGTATTGTTTGAGTTTGAAAGTTTACGTACCGAGTTGCTTGTCTTCGTCTTCATTGGTGGCCGAGATAACTCTTATCTCTGATGATCCGGGCCTAGCAGATATAAGCCGTAAATTCGTGACTCGCCTCAATTAAAGGCCCTCGGAATGCACTTTTGTCAGATTACCTTATTGATGAACTTAAAACAGCCCTTTTGCGCCAAAACACGTAACATTTTAGCTTAACCTAAAAACGATACAGTTTGACATGATATACTACCTATCGGGTCTTGAGCATGCGCATTGGACGCATTTATGTCGATAATGAATAGGTGGAATTCACGAAAGTGCGAGCTGAATGAAGCATCTCTTACCCCTCTCTAATTTATTTACTAATTTCTGCTCTTCTGAGCGTATTTTTTGAATTAATATTCGTCATCTTTTTTCCCAGCCCGAAAATGCCGAGAAAAGTTGAAATGAATATACTTCGTAATCGAATGACATAAAGATCCTTGACGATTTTTTATAGCAAATTTTGCATTCGAGTACTCACGATACAGACGTTCCGTGCTGCATCAGCTGTACCAGCCGCCCTTTTACCTTAGCTCAGGAACGCTAAAGCCAAAGGCGGTTTAATCGCCTTTAACTGAATTAAGATCAATTATTTGTGCGATTATTATTTAACTATATACGATTAGCTGGGAAGCTGCATGTCAAGAGGGAAGTTGTTTATCTTCTTACAGCAGATGAAGGATGACTGTTACCGACAGCGCGACGTGCAAAAGTATGACCGGCGATTATGTGATTCGCACATTTCGATGCGAAACTGGCTAGTTTTACCAAACAAGGCAAGTAAACACTCAGACTTTTTCGCTGCTTAGAGGTGTGCGGATACATTCTGAAGGTTGTTGATACTTTGGCGCATCGCGCTGTAAGGGGAGGACGGGATTGATGTTCAGCTACACCCTGTGCGAATAGATCTAATAAAGCAAATTTGAAGGCAATTTTCGAATTTTATCGATACCCTGAAAACTGGCCTCTGTGTTGGTTAAAGCAGGCTACTGCTACCTCCCAGATATAATTGGAATTTATTAGTGTGTAGTGTAGGTTTTATACGTGCAGAGGGAGAAAAACCCGACTGAACCTAAACAAGGGTCGCAGAACCTACATAGCACTTAGTAGATGTATTGTATTCAGAAAATCTAACGTCGTTCTCAGTATAATACAATAGTGATTGCATTAACAACTTTTATCAATATATCAGTACATCAACTGCTTGCTACGTAGGCTCTCCCTGTCTCTCCCATCAAACCCGAGACCCTAAAGGTGAGAGGCTAGTATATTACCTCTACACCACCCTTGATTCCCTGTCTTACGAAGATCAGTAAGGTTATGTAGTAACTGCTAATATGTATCTAAAGCAAGGCAAAGGTGAAGCAACTATATTAAACGTCGACAGGTCCTTGTTTGACGACGATATCCTCTAAACTAGGAAGCTGACGGTGCATTTACACAATATAGTTTTGGCGCATCCATTTTGACTCTTGGATTCTTTCTGCTCTGGTTTAATAAAATGATTTAAATTTACCCCATTATTCAACTGCAACACTGTACATGTTCGTGGCTATACGTTGGTCTCAGAGATAACACATAATCCCGGGATTTTCTAGTTTAATACGTGTTTACTAGTTTAGAGGGTGGCTATATTTAATTGCCATCAAACAGCATGAGCCTTCATAACTCGAAGCGTTAGTGGCCATCAACCATAAACCTCTTTACCTTGGGCGTAAAGTTTTGCCCATTTCGTGTCATTTCCTACACAGTACCGTTTCTTTGTTTAACAGTTGCGTATGAGAAGACATGAATATGGATACCTCAAACAAAGAATTTTATTCTTAAGGGCATGTCACGAGATAGACCTTTTCTCATGCGCAACCATCAAGGCCGGTTTATACTCTACTAATAAATAGACTACTTTGACGATACGGTGGCCATCTTGCCAGGTGGCAAAACCTGAAACGAAGATAGAGTTTCGTACGTTTCTTCAGTTTATGAATAACGGTGATCAATGTGCCGTAGTTATAGTTCATCTTTTGTTGAGGTGAGCTGTTAATATCAATCGTTGTCATTACTGTAACAAAGCCTTTATTTGACCCTTGAACGCCCCATAATGCTTTGCGATTCAAGTAGCCGCCGTATCGTCGAATTAGTTCAATATCCTCAAAACTGTTGCTCGCAACATATGCCAATAAAGTTTTGTCTGTCATTTGAAGTCGTACGCAAGTTGTACGTCAATAGCGCAGCGCACTGATTCTAAAAATAGCTTAAAGATTCGGACAAACATTGCATTCTGTTTAACCGCTACGAGGATTATACGAACCGATTTTATTATTTTTACTTAAAGTTACAATAATAACCCATGTAAACTAAGATCAACTGCGATCGGCTGTGAAAATTATCTGCTGAAAGTAAACTTGTAAGTTGGTTTGTCCGAATTTCGCCTTTGTCTTCGTTTTTATGACGTCACGGTTGCGCTGCGGTATTTACACGAAACAATTAGCCATTCTGAGGTCGATGAAAAAACTGGGTCGAGTTGCCATGCAGTGCACTGTGGGGCTATTTAAGGGGACATATTTCCAAGATGGCGTCTATTTTGTCCCCGACGAAAAGAGTTCCGCAATGCAATATCAGCTTGACACAGTTTTTTTAGTCCTTAAACTGGGAATGGGTATAGTTCCTGTCGTCAGCCTGTTGCGCGTGACAGTGGTGAGTAAATAAATCGGTTTTTGAGAAAATACTATAATCTAGGGAATAATACGTGGTCTGAAATGTGAACAAATTATACGCCCAAGGTAAAGAAAGAGCTGGTCTATTCTGACAATGTTCTAATGAACTTGGTGCTAGCTCACGTTATCGACGTGACCTGAAATTGACAGCAAAAATGTGAGATAACTGGCGAGATATAGTAATCCAAAGAGAACGAGAAACTCTAGTCCTTTTATTCCATTCTCCCCTTCCGTTCCCTAGTTTCTAGAGGTAGTAGTCCCTGATCGAGTAGCCTGCGTAGGGTCGCTCTAGGGGATTGGGGAAGGGGTGGGCGGGCCAAAACGCTGAATAAAGTCTGTCCTAGGACGAGATTAATATTGTTACCAATTTTCTCTCCTCCCCCAAAGTATGGAGGAACTGGGACAACAAGAATACACAATTTTTTTTTTTCAATTGTGCAAACTTTATTAATAAAAGTTACACATAAATGTCGACAAATCCAATTTTAACAGGAACTACAAAAACCACTCTTACTCCTGAATCTTTTACATTCTGTAATCAGAATGTATGTCGCGATAATCCATTATTATAGCTTTTCATATATCACTTCTCCTATCTCTTAAGTCATTAGGAGTTCACGATTAAGTACTTGTGTTTAAATTTCTGGTTAGAAATTTATCTTTTTTTTAAGGAATCAAAAACTTAACAGAAGTAAGTTTACTATATAGTTATACGATATAGGAATGTTTACGGCAAAACAACATTTGCTATAATAGATAATAAAAAATCCCTAGCCTTTGAGTAACAGAGAATGTAGCGAATGATTCTTGGTTGATCTTAATGTCCGGTTTATACGAGCACTTTCTCCTAAACCAAGCATTTTCTCTCGCAAGCTTTTCTTGTCTTGAAGTTGTTGGCATTGGGCTGGCATCCGCCATAAATGAACTTCATGCATTTCCCAACCTTGGGGTTGTAATAATAACGTGGTATGTATGCGAGACATGGACCGGTCTGTTTGGGTAGGACGCAGGCGGATTCTAAAATGAATCAGAGTAAAAAAATATTAATAAACTGAGGGATCTTTCAGGTGTTGAAGAATATTATTTATATATTTCTATAAAATAGGCTTCGCTTCGGCCATGTTGAACAAAGAGAAAAATGAATTTTTTATATGCCAAATAAAGAGATATTCTATTCCCTAAAGGGGAAGAATTTGATTCTGAATAGGACCATAATGCTTCGCGAATTTTTCTTCTTATTCTAATTTTGTATTCCCTCATGAGAATAGTTGTTTCATGGTTAGATATAGAGACTTTCGACACATGACTGCAGTCAAATCTTCTAGTTTTTTAGCTGTATAACGCGGGACCCCATTGAAAACCTCATTTGGAGAGGAAACAAATACTAACTTTTAGTACTACATGGTGATAATTAAACAATAGAAAAAAAAAAGGATTCTGTATGAAATAGTACTAATTAGTACTAATTAATGTTCACGGATTTAGTGCGAGCACTCTATGGGTTTCCTGCTTAAATATTAATTACTAAAAATAGAGTACAACAATGCATAACGTTCATTATATGACGCGCGCCGTGAGAGTGACAGATTGAATGCGCGCTCTAATTTGGGTGGGATCGAAAATTCATTATAACAATAGACCTCTTTAGCTTCGGCGTATCATTTATTTAATTTACGGTTATGCAACGGTTGTGCATGAGAAGACACATAAGAAAAAAAAGAAAAGGTCAATCGTATAAGATATTGGTAAAAGTGTTCTTACTTTTGGTTCTGCATTCGCAGGTCTGACAGCCATTGTCATCCACGATGTATCCATACTTGCAAGGCCTACACTTTCTGAGAGGACATGGAAGACGTGGTGGTGTTGGAAGGGAGTCTGGAAATTGAAACATAAAGAATAGTTGAAAGTGAGATTCTTATTCATTCATTTAGCAATGTTTAGACAGGCGGTCCAGTTCAGGTAAGGCAGGTTTGAATGGAAGCCATTTTGAGTTTTCCCTTTCTCTCTTCTCCCCCTTCTATCTCTCTATATTTTCATCCCCATCTCTCTCTCTCGTCTCCCTCCTCTCTTCTCTCCCCCCCCCCCTCTCTCTTCTCCCCCTCTGTCTCTCTTCTCTCCCCCCTCTTTCTTCTCCCCTCTGTCTCTCTTCTCCCCCTCTGCCTCTCTTCTCCCCTCTGTCTCTCTTCTCTCCCTCTCTTTTTCCCCCTCCCGCCTCTCTCTCCTCTTATATCGCTCTCTCCTCTCTCTCTTTTCTCTCCCTTCTATCTCTGCATTTCCCTTCTCTCTCTTCTCCTCCCTCTCTCTTCTCTCCCCCCTCTCTCTCTCTTCTCCCCTTCTCCCCCCCCCCCCCCCCCCCCCTCCCCCCCCCCCCCCCCCCCCCCCCAATTTGTTGTTATCACAGTTGAGTTCTTTTGTATTTGAAGTCATTCGTATACAAGCGAGGTTATAATGTCAGTACAAAACTGACAACGTGTTACCTACTATTCACACAATTTCCCTATTTTTCAATGTAAATTAATTATCCTTTATCTTTTTTAGTAACTCTCAGTGAGGTTTAGAATTGTCACTAGGAAGATCAGGGAAATCAGAAAAAACTCTGGGTCCAACTGACAAAATGTCAGTCCATCTAAATTCCCTAATTAGCTAGTGACACTTCTAGCTAAAAATTCATAAATTTCCTTTCTTAGCTACCATCCTTCTATTAATCATTCGTAACGTACTCTCCTGTACCTGTGGTTTTCTCCAGCGTGCAGATTCCAAAAGGACTAGCTTTTGATTGGTTGGGTTTGGGTTGACAGACCATTCCAGGGTCGCAAAGGATTTTTTTACCGCTGATGTCGCATCGTGCACCTTCACCTGCAAGCTGTACGAGTGGCTCGGGTGCTGCGCAGATGTTCTTGCAAGTCCAGCTTCCATGGTAACAAGTGCTAATTTGGACATTCAATTTAAAAGTGAATAAGTTAGAGGTAGCTGAAAAAATGTTCTTTCGATGTCGTGAAAGACTTCCTTAACTTGGGCGTCATATTTTTCTTTTTTGCCATCTCAGTTATATTCTTATTCATAATTCTTGAGTCTTTTTATGTACAGCCATTAAATAAAGAAATGATGCTCAACAGAATGACACGTGGTCTGAAAGCAAGGACGCATACTCAAAGCTAAAGCGTCTATAAAGGCTTTGCACCATCACGATATTGCAGCCATGACAGGAGGCAGGAACAATTGAAACCTGGTCTAATCTGTTTTACATGAGAAAGGATTCAGTTTCCCAGGGAAGAACGACTCTATTGTTGTGCCTCTTGTCATGGCGGCCATCACGTGATGGTGCAAAGCCTCTATACACGAGGCAGTCTATATCAGTATCTTGAAGCTTTTGAGGGGAACGCCTTTAACTGCACCTGTAACGTTGCTCCTGCCAAATGACTTTAATGATAAATCAGAAATAACGTTTCTTGAAATATACCCGAATGATAATTAGATGCATGCTTACCATGATTCACATCGTCCTTTCGTGATCTTTTCACCGAACTTGTATGGCTTTCCTCCCATGGAACAACCTAAAGACAAAACGATGCGTTAAAGAATTAGCTCATATAAAAAAAACACAAAAAAACAAAGAAGTAAACAAAAAAGCAAACGAACGAACCAACAAACAAATGAATTATTAAAACAGATAAACGAAMAAACGAAAAAAAACAAAACAAAACAAAACAAAACAAAAAAAAACAAAAACAAAAAAACAAAACAAAACAAAAACAAAAGCCAAAAACAACAAAAAAGAGCAACAATAAAAAACAAAAACAAAACAAAAACAAAAACGAACAAACAAACGAACATCGTCAATTAAGACTCCAACTTACGTTTGCAGGGTCCTTTTTTAAATCCAATCTCCTTTCCAAGTTTGCACTCGTATTTCCTTAGTTGGCATTCATTTTCATACTCGATGCCATTGGTCAGTCCACATACGGGTTCGTCAATGCTTTTACAATGTCTTGGGCATTCACACACTGCTGTTTCATCGATTACGGTACACGTTTGGTGAATGTGGCAACTTTTACCTGCACATTTGTCTGTAAACAGAATTGAAAGGGGCGATTGGGCACAAGTAAGTTGTTATTCCAATGATTGGGAAAAAGAAAAAAAGGGAATGAAATGAAAAGAGAACAAAAACAAGAACAACAAACAGGTGGTTGGCTTAGTTGGGAAGCACCGGTTAGTTGGGCTTTCACCAATGCGGCCCGAGTTCGATTCCTGCCGATCTCGATGTCGTATGTGAGTAGAGTTGTTTGTTGGTTCTCTCCTGTGTAGTATGTGAGTAGAGTTGTTTGTTGTTCTTTCCTGTGCTTCGAGGGTTTTTCTCCGGGCTCTCCGGTTTTCCTCCCTCCCCAAAAATCAACTTCTAAATTCTATATTTCGATCTTTGGGCTTTCATCTAGTTTGGAGCCTAGCTCTGTTGTGATTGTCCCACGCTGTGATACAACAGCGAAAGCTTTGTAGATAGTTCTTTTAGTTTATTCATGGCTCAGATGGTTTGGCACAGGACTAACGGCAAGTTTCGAGTCCCATTGAACAGCCACAATATACTTTATCATATTCAACTTACTTGGTTCGCATTTTCCAGAAAATAAACCGATGCCTCGATCAGGAATGACTTTTCCATTCTTACGTCGCACCACACAAGACAAACCCTTGTCGCATATACCGTTCATGTTCCATGGTCCACCACAGTGTTGTTGTTCGGTCTTGGCGCACGTGTCACAACAACCACACATATCCTTAAAACCAACACCTAGTAATATCAAGGATGAAAAAATCAATAATAAATAAATAAAATTAATTATACAGCTTCTCATTAATCCCATATAGGTAACTGTCCAATTATTTTCTTAATTGGACAGGTCCGTTGTTGATATGGGATTAATTAGGCAGCTATATAATTAATAGTTAATGGGATTTCATGCTCCCCAATTAAGAAATAATTAGACTCGAAAAATTCCTGACTGCCAAATTGGGCTCGGCCTACGGCCTCATCCAATTTTGGAATTTTCCTCGTCCAATTATTTGTTAATTGGACAGCATGGAGTCCTATTACATATACTAATAAGTTAACGTTGACCTATGGAATAAAAAATAAGATAAGTTTACAATAGGTGGGGTTCAACACGACGCGCCTAAATGTATATTTAACAATCACGTGACATTTCGTCGAACCCAGAGCTTCTCGGCTTTCCTCGACGAATTAAAATAAGGAGATCTGGGTACGAAGAATCGTCAAGAGACGAAATAGACGCTTTCGTATATAGTCTTCCGCCCAGTCACTCCATTGCCTGCGCTAAGAGATTGTCAAGTTAGACTGCAATACTCCTAAAGCACTCTGTGTACAATTCTTGACCCAGGATGCTATGTGACCCTTAGACTAGACTGTTGTCCAGTGTTGTTACTATAATAGGGAATATGCTTAATAGGGAATATGCTTCATAAGGAATATGGACACATTGAGAGAAGGAAAACGGGGAACTACTCTACTAAGGGTGAAACTAAGATGGAGACATTGACCCAGGTTTTAAACATCTTAGATATTCAATGTTTACAGACTGTACTTCAAAACTTAGCATTGACCTCTAAGCCGTTACAGAAAAATACAGACACCCATCACGACAATTCTAAATAAAGAAAAATGCATCCAAAAATATAGTTTCTTAGGGCATATATAAACAACGTGGACATGAAGCTGCAGGAACTTGAACATTTGCCAAGAGAAATAAAGAAAACGCTTAGTATTTTTTAAGTGTTTGTTACGAAGATAAGAAAGTGCAGGAATGTAGTGTAGAGGACTAGACGTGTGGCTTGGTTATCAAGAAGCGGAATGAGTATCTACAAGTTTCTCTGAGTGGGTCCTTTGTCATATCATCTTGCAAAGACGAAACAGCTCATCAACCAAGTGCCTCTTAGTAGGTCCTTCAATATTATCTTGCAAACGGCAAAACAGCAGTTCATCCGCTATCAATATGCAATGAATAAGAGTCTACGATAGAGGCTAGGGCGGCAAGTATATTAGTAGCAAATTAATGAATAAAATAGGTCGTAAAATACTGGTTTTCTTGTGAGGAAAGAAAGCTAAGAATTTTGTACTTTCCATATATAAAAGAAGAAAAACTCGAATATATATAAAATAAAAAATAAAAAAATAAAAAAAATAAAATAACGAAAGAAACCGGCTAAGAAAGGAACAAAGAAAAGAAGAAGAAGAAAAAAAAAACAACAACGAAAAAGAAGAACTGATGATAGTCGCAGACCTCCGTTTTTCTTGACCTTTACTTCAAAGTAAAAAAACCTTGCCGATCAAACACGTACTTTAATAAAATAAATAAAATTCCACAAATTGGCAACAACGGAATGACTTAAAGGATGGTATTAGTCATAAATCATAAACCTCTTTGCTTCTGGACGGTGTGGATCACATGACGTGACGCGCTCCTCCGCCTTCCTAATGATGCGTGCGGGTGTCTTATACCTACACGTCTCGTGACAAAAGCGTGCATTAAGCGTGTGACTGTAATCTACCTTAATACTCACAATCTGTTTATTTAACCACATCTAAACTACAGCGAAAAGAGGAGGACACGTTCGTGCAATCAATCGCAGATCAAAGCCTTTAAGACGTCGCTGCGTGCTGGCCCTCAAACGCCATAATTTTCATGCCATAAAAGTCATTTTCGTGTGCGAGAACGAGAATGCCCAAGGGGGAGTGGTGGTGGGAGTTGGTGCAATTCCTTTCCTTCGTAATGACTTCTTCGGAACCTCGTAAAAAATTGAATTGAAAGAACTATGTTTTTCAATCAGAGAAAGAGAACCTTACATGCACACCGACCTCGTCAACAAGATACCACAAACAGAGCACGTAATATGGGTTATGTTTCTTCTAAATATTTAGTTAAACCCTTGGAGACATCATATTTCCTGTCTAGACCTTTTTAAAGCACCACAAAGTGAAAGCGCTATAAAAATCCCTGATTCAAACTGATAAACATAAGTCTCACAACGTTTTAGGATGCACGGACGCACTTTCTGTCGACTATTTTTCCGCTACTATAAAAGCTTGTAAGCTAAGCTTGTGAGAAATTGAAATTTCTTGACGCTGAATTTTTAAGTGATGCTAGATTCTTTTAGAGATAGCTGTTAAACCGATTTTGTTAAGAAAATATATAAAAAACAAGTTTAAGGAGTAATAAAACAAAGCAAAGCTCAACTCGATAACCGCGGCCAACCACCAAACTTGAACTATGTATAATATGAGTCCAAACGGTCAGCACCACTATTAAAACATAAAGCAAAATTTGTCAAAGTCACGATTCTGTAAAGTTTTTAGTTGCCTTCTTCATTTTTTGAAAAAAAAAATTTTTTTTGTAGCAATCCCTGCATGCAATTTGTTTGTGTTTGCTCGATATTTCTTTACTGAAAGGAGAGGTTGCTCGATATTTTTTTCGTAGGTGAAGTGTTATATTTGGGGGGGGTTAACGCAACCCCTTGCTCAATTATTGAAGCACGTCCATTATTGGGAAGCACGGGAGGCGGTGTCGTATGCAAGTAGAGTTTCTAGCTGGTTCTCTCCTGTGCTTCGAGGGTTTTTCTCCGGTTCTCCGGTTTTCCTCCCTCCACAAAAATCAACTCCTGAATTCCAATTTTATCATGGAAGGAGGGTCACAGGTTTGTTAGCCTCTGGCTATTATTAAGTGCGACCCTCTTTAAAAAAATGACGGTTATAGTGTTGTTTGCAGTGTTTAAAGAACAAATGTTTACCCTGTTTTCAATTGGAATGAATGTTTCCGGCATCACTTTTGATCTTGTTTGTTTTAATTATTTTCTCTTGGACCTCACTTGCAGCGGATGTATTCAACTATCATGCCTTGATATAGGCCAAATACTGAAGACTTATTATCTTAAGTGAATCATATGAAAGATTAGAGTAGATAAGATACACGTGTCTCATTTTTGTTCGTGCGCAAGGATAAGACCCCAAGATAAGACCGTATTTTTAGCCCAGGAAAAACAAAACAAAAAAAGAACTTGCAATTTTGTTTACGATGTAACAGTCTCTGAAGAGTCCATTCTTTCTCAGTAAATCTTCCTACACTTTTGAGGGGTTTATTTTAGAAAGCGATTAATTCGTACAGATCTTTCCATCACCTTGAAGCGGCACAGGTCTTTTCATCTCAATTTTCTCTCATTTTCAAATTTTTGTACTAAGATAATCAATTGTAAAACAAAATAATAATTGTCCCTACCACATTACCTCCCCCATCCACAACCCCCTTATCCCCCCCNCCCCCCCCCCTATCTCCTCTTTCTTGCCGGTGTGCGCCCGCTAAAAAGATGATGAAATATTCTACTTCACTTACCACTTTTACATGTTGGAGTCTTGCATTTTACCTGATCACAGGACATACAACTCAAAGAGAGTACACACACGAACATGGCACTCAAACATAATGATAAATATAGAAGAGAATTCATTTTCATATCTGAAACAAGAAAAATACTGTGTTTTATCAATTGACTAGATATATTCACTCTAACGCAAGCACACTAGTACAATAAATGATTGAGATTTTTGCGAATAGTTTTTGCGCAACGCGATGAGAGGTATAAAGATTGCGCAAATGCTTAAGGAAATTAATCCTTTAATAAAATAGTAGTGCTTTAGCACGAAAATCTTCCGAAATTTAATTTGGCTGAAACTTCATGGAATAATCTTTAAGGGAATAGATAAAATTACATSATCAAGGTCCGGTTATCCCGGGTTTGATCGAAAGCTCGAACCACAAAGCACAACCGATATGCTGATCTTTCCATCAAAACGCTTTTTATTTTTGGAAATATTATCTTATGAAGGCACAGAGATCTCTGAAAGGTAAGGTAAGAGTTATTTTTAGTGGTTTGAGAGGACAGAAGGTCGAGAAGATCACGGACAAACAACCGCGGTATATGGTCTTACATCAAGGCAGGGCTGAGGGCTGGGCAGAAAAAAAGATCATACCACAAAATGTTTCTCGCAATGTCTGCCCTGGAAACAGGGGCCGTGCCTGTCTGCAGTCCTTCTCTCACTCTACTAGTAGGAAGCTAGCCTAGAAGCATTAAAGAAGGGACTAGCTATTTGATACAAGAAGTTTATTATGATATGAAGAAATATTACTGGACAAACAGGATTGGATGATTCGGCGAAGTCGAAAGGTTATCAACCGGCTAAGAGGTTCTTGCTGCCTTGAGCAAAATCAAAATATATCACACATGCAAAAAAAAAAAAAAAAAAAAAAAAAAAAAAAAAAAAAAAAAAAAAAAAAACCAGCTGGAAGTTGTATTAAGGTTGTCATCACCCGCACCAAAGCTATCCAAACAACGACAACAAAATAAGACAGATCAAACCTAAATTACTTAGTCGTAGATGGGGCATCGCAATGTCGGTGGAAGTTCAAGTTTAGGGTTAGTTTTGCTCTGATTTGGACGCTCCTAAAAATTGCATGAGATCACGATTGCAAGTAACTAACGCGAGTCTGCTCGTATCGAGTTTCATCCAGCAAAAAGATTTTCAGAGCTGGGAACATGGAATCTATATCTACCAAGAAATCTCTTACAAAAAGAGCTTCTTTAACTAAAGTGTTTGCGAATTTTGAATGATAATATTTACAGAAACAATTACGAGGTTTAATGAAAAGTCTCTCCAAAGACGAAAAAATATTTTGCAATCACACTTGAACAGTAGGACTGAGATTGTTTAAAGATTGCCTGATAAATATTCCCAGCTTAAATCGCTTTTGAGAGAGTTGAATTTTAAAAAAGATAAAGAACTCTAAGAGAAGATATGAAGACCCGATAAATGAACTTATATGTTTTACCCGCTTGATGTTGGTCATCGACGATGCACGCAAGATATTTTTCAAGAATGCAGAAGATGCATGCACTGTATGACCTGTATGTTAGACTTGCTTGAAGCGCTCAAATACCTTCAAATTTTTCAACATTTTGCTTTCTAAACTCAAAGATTTCTCATAAGCTTTATATTCAAATATTATTGGTAAAACTAGAGAACTTAAGGTCAAAAGAAATATCTTTTGGTCCAACTTACCGTCAGCGTTGCTCGGAACGTCTTTACTTGTCGATATCTGATCCGCAAAAGAGACCTTTCTCTAGAAGTTCTAAGATTTACTGTAGCATCAGATTAACTAAAGGGTTTATATTTAATTTTCTACGTCATTAGTTCAGAGTTCAGTTGCGCCAAATAACGGAACCGGAAACTCCTTATTGCTCAAACTTTTATTTCCGTTAGAGCTTGATGATGGTTGTTACAATTAAAATTCCTTTTACATGACGTTCTCTTTAATAGTTATTTGGCTATTTTATAAGTGTGTCATATAATATTGGTAGAGTTTGTTTGTACGAAATTCTAGATACTTTCGGGATAATGTTTTGGTAAGAAGGCAACCGTGTAATACCCGGATAATGGCCAGAACAGGCCGCCCCGATCCTCACTCACAAAATTACATTATCAGACGACTTCAAACACGATAGATAGCGCTTTGTTGGTGGACACCCATGATACAGGATGTGGGTTGTTCAAATGCCTTTTAACTTAATTCTAGATATAGATACGATCTTGATAAGATATAAAACTGATAAGGACAATTTAAAATTTTCTTTTGGAAAAGATTAATTCTATCTGATAGCCTAGAACACCTAGCGACAACCGGGACAGGACAGTGATTTTACGCGATGGGATCGGGAATTTACTAATTAACAGCGCAAATATACGGTTATACGGGGAATTGAGTGCCTTCTTCGACAGATAACAATTTTAACAACAACAACTTAAGTTTAAAAGAAAATCTTTCCACGAGTACAGGGGAAATTCCCGCCCCGTCCCGTGGATCTGGGGCTGGGGGTTTGAATCGACTAGTGCAGTACAAGTGAAAAGGGTGTGTAGAGGTAAAATGTTGGATTTTCACCAGTGCGAGTCCTACCGCCATATGTGAATAGAGTTTCATTTGATTTGTCGCTCTCTTCCTCAACCTTGAGTGCTTTTCTCCTCAAAAATCAACATGTGAATCGAGGGTTGCGTGCTGAGTAAAGAGCGTCGAACTAGGGACACTCGACAACGACTCTCCGTTTCACGTGTGAAAAATTAAATGAATTAATGAATAAACTCTGAAGAAAATGTGCTACAAAATATAGTCGTTTGCGGTATTTGAGCTTGGGCTTTTTAGCGCAAATTCTTTACGATTTTATTTCCGCACTTTTAGGCTTTTAAAGTTACCACAATTCAACACAAGCGAACAGCGCGTCGCCGTTTTCTCTTTCCGCTAAAACGAAAACGAAGAACAAAAGTTGGAAAAAATATTACAAAAATATGCTTTCTATTCTCTGTCGATCAAATAAAACTATAAATGGCTGAAGGGGGAGGGGGGGGGGGGGGGGGGGGAGGGGGGAGGGGGGCTAAAGCTCAACTTTACTTTTTCCTGGATCCGTCCCTGCCTCCCCTACCCTACCCTCAATCGTTCTATAAATTTGTCTTAATTACTAGGGAAGTAATTTTGTCGCGAATATAATGGAATGTAATGAGCAACGGAAATAAATATTTGGAGCCGACACCACCTCGTTTAGGGGATGTCATGACAGGTATCATATGATATCGCGGAAATGGTTGGTCACGAAGGCGGTGCGGTGTTCTATATACCGGATGAAGGAAAATCAGAGAGTATAAGGCGGGAAACTTTGGAAATACGTCTAAAATTTGAGCAATCATAGCGATCATATTGTCAGGTATATCTTGACTTTTGACGAAGAAGATTGGCTAGTTTTCGGCTTGAAGATTTGGTCTTTAACGCTTGAAAAATGCCGGTACTTTATATAACATATATGTTAGAATAAAGTATAAAGGTAATAAAGAATAAAGAAAACAAAGAGAAGAGAAGAGAAGAGAAGAGAAGAGAAGAGAAGAGAAGAGAAGAGAGAGAAAAAGAGAGAAGAGAGAAACAATTAAAGAAAACGAGAGAGAGAGGAAAGAAATAATTCATGACAAGCACGAAAGAGGGCAAGTAAGAAAATCTTATAAATAAGAGTTAAATTGGGAAGACATTAGGTAAGATAATGTAAAATCAAAATGTTTGCCGACGTGCGCCCATCTGAAAATTTTGGTCCTCTTCCGGGGAAGTTGTGTGAAATATAATGGAGTCAAGATGCAATGTAGATCCTAAAACGCTTTCTTAAGGATGGTCAAAATTAATTATGCCATTCAGCCGCAGTCGCGTAGGCTAGGCACTTATTCCAAGTATTTCCCATTCTTTTTAAAATTGCCTACGAGGTTATAATCGGCCACTATAAAAAAATGTTAATCTAAAAATAGGGGTCAACGCCCGTGCTTTTATGCTCTGTTCAAAATACATCATTGTCCTTTCATGTTTTTGATTCACTTGTATTCTATTATTGTATTGTATTTGTTCGTTACTCCTTTCATTCCTTCGCTATCTCACTCATTCATTTTCTTTCTTTAGTTCATTATATTTCATTCTTTCGTTCTTTCTACAGCAAAAATATTAGCGTAACGCAATACTGAATGTACTAGTAATATTTCGAACTTCCAAAATGTACTAATTTCCGCATTACTGTCCTGGGTTAGGCGAAAAGTCTGACGGAATCATTTATATTTATACCAGTGTTGGTACAAATTTCCATCCAGCGTAGATAAAACTAAGCAAGTGACGGATCATTTTACTACAGTAAGTGGTAGCTAACTGGCGAATCACGGTGCTGTAGGTATGCCCCAAGTCGACCTCCTTGTCTCCCGAGGATTCTTTTTATTCGAGTGGATCGGAGAATTTTGCGAGCTTAGCGAGTGAGCGACGAAAGGCGACACTGAAGACACTGAAAGCGGCTGTGGGGGAGACTAGGGAGGACGGTGAATGTGTCTAGGAATGGTGTTCTTGCTACGAACTATCCGGTACTACGTGTAGAGTCTCACATCAGAGAATAATGCTAGAAGTTTCTGGTCAACCTACGCCAGCATTGCTGTGCGGTTTTGTTTTTTTTCCTTTGTTTTGTTGTTATCCTGGGACGTGTTCTACAATTTACATCTGCCGCAGTTTTTCGATTCACGAAAGACATTCACTGGCCAAGTTAATGAAAATTCTTGTAAACTGTCTACGTTATGGCTAAACAGTCGTCCGAGAGCCATGCATGTCTTAATGGAGCTGAGCAACCAAACTCGTGAAATTTTAAAATCATTTTCTGCTATATTTTTAAGTTTATCGAGTAAAAGACCCAAGCGCATGTTCACACCAGATAAACTCAACAGCACCGAATATAAACCAGCCCGAATCGCAAATAGCAGGCGAATGAAGGACAAATATTAATATTAAATGAGGTAAAATACCAAGAAACTTATTGTTTAGGAGGCGAAGGAAAGTGAGAATGAGGCACAGAAGGATGTAAAGAGGAAAAGGAAGGAAGGAAGGAAAAATTTCCCTTACCTTGAATGGTAGAATACACTTTACTTTCGTTTGTAAAATCGAGAAAAAGATGCTCAAGTGCAAAGCTTTAAATAGCCGACTTTTCAACAGTCTACTTTTCTCAAGGCCGCATATTACTCGTCGGTGTGCAGACTATGAATACAACGCTAGCGGCGTTTACTGAATAAGATAAAGCAGATACGGCTCTTTTCGCCAGATTCTGTCAGCGACAAGAAAAAACTCTAGTTCATTCGTGTTTTCTTTACTGTCGGTAAGTACAGATATTTATATAATACGTAATACTTATTAAGAGTGTTGAGATCTACAAACTTCAACTTAATAAATAACTTATCCAGAATGTCGTCTTTTCTCTGCTAGATATTCAAGTCAAAAACAAGTATTCGCCTCAGGATCGACGTTATCTAGGTGAATATTCACCACATTTAAATGAATCAATAAATATTCATGTTGATTTAAAGAGTTCTGAACGATACCATGGAAAGAGGTCATGTTTTTGAACAAAGCAGGGACTGAGATGTCCGAGATGACACGTTAAGAAAGGTCTAAAAAGGCAACAACAGAACCCTCAACCAAGAGAGCATGAATAAGAGAGGGGAACTTCTTAATAACGGGCGCGCCATGTAAATTCCCGGTTGGGCTATATTTAGTAACAGGATGCAGTTTAAATTTCGCCTTACCCTACTCCCATGCGTCATCAACTTTCGTGCGCGCGCTCTTTTTTTTTTGATCACTAAAAAAGAAAACGGAAAGCGCGCACGTGCGCAAGTTGATGACACACGGGAGTAGGGTAAGGCGAAATTTAAACTGCATCCGGTTGCTAAAAATAGCCCAACCGGAAATTTACATGGCGCGCCCGTTATTAAGAAGTTTCCCTTTCTCATTTATGCTCTCTTGCCTCAACCACATTAATATTGGAGAACCACAGTTAAATTGGTACCAATCAGGGCTTTCATGTTGAAATGGAGGAAGAAAAGCGAAAAGATAAAAGTTATTGCAACCAATTGACAAGGTCTCGGACGGGGGGGGGGGGGGGCAAAAAAGTGAAAGTGAAGCGCTGATACCTAATTGGTTAGCGGTAAAGAGGACAATTCAAAGTTGTCAAAAGGATGTCAAAAAGAAATACGGTACGGCACTTAGACATTAATTTGCGCCCCTGACAAACTTGCTCCACCATCTGTCAATCAATTGGTAATATAGTGCCTTTGATTGACCGCTGGCACGATTGGAAAAAAAGATTAGTTTATAAAATAGGAGATTTTAAGACAGCATAAATAATATTTATGCTCTCTTGGACATTTATGTTCTGAATATGAACTATCTAACATTACAAAACTACTTGTATTAACTGGTGTTCTTAAAGTCGTTACATTCGACATTAAAAAATATCCAGTAAGTAGATGCTATTCCGAGTACTCCAAGAACACGGCCAGCTAAGGTCGAGCAGTAAAATAAAAGGACTACGTTCGCAGGTGCACAGAAAACGACCCACTGTTGTAGTGCCAGCGGCATCTCTTTCTTCCATAGAGCATGCGCTAGGCCGTAATAGGTGGGAAGAGCACAGTGAAGAAAGATGATTTCTAAACAAAATCCTAGAAAAGGGTGTTAAAAATTGGTGTTAAATTTAGAACAAATGTGAAGAGATCAGAGAGGGAAGGAATAAGAATGAAAAAGAGTTTGCGATTGAGGAAGAGAATGTAAGAGAATGAAGACGAAAGGAAGGAGGGACAAATGTGAAAGAGAGAAAAAGGCAAAGGATGAGTATGGGAGAAAAGAGATGAAGGGTTGAAGGGTTGGAGGTAGGAAGGGAAGGAGGAATGTGAAGGAGTAAAAAATGGAATGGGAGAGTGTAAGGGTGAAGTAAGTAAGGAATCTTTGAGAACAATGAAGGGAAAGGGATGAGAAGGATCCGATTTTGCCTCAAAAGTAAAGTAAACAACTTGCTTTGCTTACCAATGCTTGATAATATTCCTGTACTTGTTGGAAAAGCTGAAATAATCGTGCCAACATACAGACTCAGGCACAAGAAGACACAAGCAGGTAAAGCTGGACTGATGTTAATACGGCGAGCATCATAAATACTGAATCCCTCAGGCCTCCATAACAGAAAGATACAGGTACATAGCGATACCTGTGACGGAACATATAAACAAACTCATTTGTGGCTTCTGGTAAAATTTACACATACATGTCTCTGGGATACTGGTAATAACAATGTGCAGTGTTTAACCTTCTAAAGCTATATACTCCATCTGTTGCAGGATGAAAACTCAGAGTTGGAGCTAGCTGTGCATCTTTATGTTTCACAGCTTAAAAACGTACATATTTGTACATTCATCTATGTACATTAAGTGAGGTGGATGGTGGCAGACCTACTTACCCATAATTCCCAGTACTGATCGGGAGTACACATCAGCCCCAGTGCACATGACAATATTACAGATATGTACATATGGTAAGTGAGGGGGGAGGGGAAGGGGGGAGGGGAATGGCAGACCTACTTACCCATAATTCCCAGTACTGGTCTGGAGTACACATCAACCCCAGGGCACATGACAACATTACAGATATATTGGCAAGAAATGAGGAACTCAAGAGAGCAGTTGTTGGAGGCATCTTGCCTTTGGTGTCCTCCTAAAACACCATCAATATTAATATAACAAAATTAATCTCCATCAACACAATGGAAGGGTGATCTGCTTCTAGGAACAACCTTGAATTTGGTTTTTCGTGTCCCCTGGGGAATGCAACAAAAGACCTTACCACTTGATGTGAAGTACAACCAAATAATAGAAAAATAGGAAGAGAAATCAATGACTTGTGATGTTCACTTACCTTATTCGTGCTCATCGTCGCGAATTGCATGCTCACAGAGCCAGCGCGCGCGCTCGCTTGAAACCGTTTCTCTTTTTAATTTTTTCCATTTTTTAAAAAAAAGCTGTGCTTTTTATTTTTTTAAAATTAATTTTATTTTGTCATAGTAAAAAATCACTCAAAGATTGGCATTGACTGCCCTTTAATTGATCATAGATATGACGTCTTTTAAGACGATATAGATATGGATATGGCGTCTTTTGTTCAAAATTCAAGTGGAATTTGAACATTTTAAAAAATGTTCAAAACTTTCCAGTGAAACCTCTCTCTGTGTTCTTGATTCCACTTGAGTTTTAAACATTTTAAGGACGTTATCTATGAGCAATAAGAGGACCTTAAATGAAAATTTATGTATCCTCTCCCGTAAACGTTAACTTTTCTAAATTGTAATTCGATGTCCAAATCAGAGGGCCTTATGTTAGATAACTCTTTGTGGTTAATAAGGAAGGAAAGAAAGGAAAAAAAACAGCAAAAAGTCAATGAAAAGCCAAACATCTGAAGGGAAAATGACGATAGTAACGAGTTTCAAAGAACTTACCAAACTTTCTCTGGACGGAGGGGCTTCTTTCATGAGACTTATAGCAAGAATAAGATGAAGTACAAGATGATAGACTAAAAATGGAGACGAAGCAAGCAAACCTCTGTGCTCCGTACCTAACAAAGAAAAAAAAAAAAAAGAAGAAAAAGTTGTTATTAACAACCTGTGTTGAGGACAAGGATAATAAAGAAAAGATGATGTCTTTGACTACCTCAGGCAACACGATGCCATTCTCCCAAACAACATATGATACCAAGTTAAATAACTATTGTTCTGCACTGACTAACGACTGACTAGCCTCTCATACATATGAAAACGTTTTTTATGTTTCCACGTGAACACGAGGCTAGCCAGTCGCTAAAGTCCGTGCAGAATATGATAGTTACTCAAAATGGTCACCATATTTCGATTCAGCGTCTACAGCTATTTCAAAAAAGATTGATTACTGAATACTCCATATTGAATAGTACATTCCAAGACCAAAGGGCATTGTGGGTCTCGTTAATTTGAAATAAAAGGAAATAAACAGCAATTAACTCTCTACATGTAGTGAGTGCATTGTTTCAGATGGAATATACTAAAAATAGAATAAATAATAATTATTAATCCTACTTTAGACAATGTCACTATGACCCACAATGCACTTTGGTCTTGGAATGCACTATTCAGTATAAAGCAGTATTCAACCTTTTTTGAAATAACTGTAACTCAACATGTGAGTTGAGTGTTGCATGTTGTAAATAGAGAATTTAGTGGTAGTGCGTGTGGAGGGAACCTTATGGAACATTTACGTACCTCTCTGACTTGTTTGGCTATTCTTATCCATAGAAGACTCAAGGAAAAACGATATCAATAAACTAACTATCAGCCCAACGTAACTGTACCTAAATGGAATAGGATAATACGAGAAACGAAAATGAATATGATACTGAATAGACATTTCCCGACTGTATTCGCTTAAGTGACCACGAAACAATGCTTCCAAGGCGAGGTGGGACTTGATGGAGTACAATAAATGTATTATAATACACTCAACAAAATTACTCGATTCTGATTGGACAAGAGGAGTACCAATTAAGTTGCCCAAATTTTTTGATTGTATTATAAATAAAGACTCGCACGATCTCGAGTACAATTCGGAATTTATAGATTGATTGATCGCCCAAAGGCTCGTCCAATTTTGAAACCTTTCAAAACATCATTTGTACCTATAAATTCCGAATAGACCCTTTTCGAGTTCCAAATTACCGCTGTGTTTCTTGAATACAGACTCATTTGTTCAGGCTAAGCCTCGAATCAGTGTCTAATTACTCGCAAATACCAAAGGTAAAGTAAAGAATGCACAAGTTCAACAATACGAGCACTTTGAAACTTGACGTACCTTGACTGGAACACATGAATATTCTTCACAAAATCGATACTTAGCCTGAGTAAATTAGTCTGTAATCAAGAAACACAGCGGTAATTTGGAACTCGAAAAGGGTCTATTTTCTCTAGATCGTGCGATTTCCTATACGAATACGTCAAGTCCAAGCTAGACTTGGAGCCGAGCCATTATTTCGTAACCACACAGAAAAGTTCTATTATAAGACAAACGAAACACAAAAGGGCAAAGCTTTCGAAATCTTACCCGCGATAAACGCGATGAGAAGTCACTACTTCTGTCCACGAAGAAACGAGTAAAAAGATGACTAAAGTTGAGGCCAGACCGTAACTGAGGCATAGAAATGGAGGACGGTGCAGCGGAAGCAGCTTATATCAATATAAAAGTAATATTAGTTTATTTAATATCTCATATGCTGTCATTAATGACGAACAAAACAAATAATTGGGCTTTTCAAGATTGCGCGGAGAACTGGGAACGAGTAGGACGCGGCGCTCGCTGAATGATAGCGGCTTATTTAGAGGACGCTATTTGCCTTTTTCTCAGGTTTTAGTTTTTGAAATCAATTCACATTTACTTTGGTTTTTGGTCTGTTTTCTTTACTTCTTATGAGAGACTGCTAAGCGTTCTGCCATATTGAAAAAAATTGCGTCCCTAAGACAGTTCCATGATTTGGCACGCGTCCTACTCGTTACCAGTTTTCTCTGCAGCCTCTGAAACACTAATACACCTTTTTGGCTTGGGCGTAATATTTTCCCATTTCAGACCACATGTCATTCACCTTAGAATATAATAGACCTCGGCTCTGACGTAATGTTTTCCCATTTCAGACCACGTTCCCTAGAGTATTATTTCTTTGTTTAACGGCTGCGCTCGGTTGCATATGAAAAGACACATGAATATGGATACAACTCAAACAAAGAATATTATTCTCAAGGGAATGACACGTGGTCTGAAATGGGACAATATTACGCTCGAGCGCTCCAGAGCCGAGGAGGACTATTCTTTGTTTGAGTTGTATCCATATTCATGTGTCTTCTCGTGCACAACCGTCAAACTAAGAAATGATACTCTAGGGAATGACACGTGATCTGAAATGAGAAATATATAATACAAAAGCAAAAAAAAAAATATATTCAAAATATTTTTTCTCACCAAAGATGCAGTTTTTAGACCAATGGGGAATCCAACCAAAAATGATATCATCATTCTTCCCAAAATAGAGTACTGCTCGACCCTGATCAACTTGACCAATACTACTAAAGCTGTTATAGCTGATATCATTAATAACCAGGGCAGGCACTGGTCTCTATAAAAATATAAAACAATAATAATAAAATAAGAGAGAATAATCTAAACCGTTTTTGATATCAAGAATATAAAATTAACATGCAGCAACTGAATCTAGCAAGATAAGGAAAATATAGAGAAGTAAAAGGCGGAGTCGAGCATCGGAATGTTTTGTACTGTTTGACAAGGACATGCGTGACGTTGTGTGACGATGCGGACGGTCACGACAATCAGCACGGTCACGATATGGAATTGACAAAATTCCATGAACAAATAAAGACGTGTGATATTTTTTACATTTTGCAATATCTAAAACAACCACTGGGCTGATCCAAGTCAGGGAAAAGCTCACTCTAAATGAGGTCACATCTAAGACACAGATCAAATCCTTAAATAACCTCTGGGCTGATCTAAGTGAGGTCACATCTAACGCACATATCAAACCCCGAAACCACCTCTGCATGTGGTTGGGCAAAGTCAGCGCACAGCTAACTCACATATATCGATTCAGAGTTTACCGTGTTGCACTTTGCGGAAGAAGGAAAGCTCGGAGTAAAAGCTATATAATGAATCGAGGTATTGAAACTCACCAAACTCTTCCAGCATAGGATGCGCCGAGTCCAGACCTTAGAGTTAAGAGGGTAGTGCACCACTACTACGCCACTTAAGATATTTGCCATCTTATACTCGAATATCATTCATTTAAAACAGTTCCACTAAGAACCGGACTTTTCGATATCAAGAGACATTAGCACAGTATACTTACTCTGCCAAAAGAGATTCCCAACCTTGTAAAGGCCAAATAAGAGAAACAAAATAGACAACAAAGCTCCAACAAACCTACAAGATGAGAAAAACACGTGAAAAACGGTCAACTTTAGTTTGCATGGGAATTACTTCACAGAAATGCGCATAGCTTTTATCGATACCCTGAAACAAACTCTGGGCTGATAACAGCCATGACACGGCTAGCTTACAGATCAAACCCTGAAACAAACTCTGGGCTGATAACAGCCAGGACACGGCTAACTTACAGATCAAACCCTGAAACAAACTCTGGGCTGATANATCAAACCCTGAAACAAACTCTGGGCTGATAACAGCCAGGACACGGCTAACTTACAGATCAAACCCTGAAACAAACTCTGGGCTGATAACAGCCATGACACGGCTAACTTACAGATCAAATCCTGAAACAACCTCTGGGCCGATAACAGTCAGGACACGGCTAACTTACAGGATTGCGTTGGTTGCTCGGAAGATGGTTGTCACTTGCGAAAGAAATCGGAGTCCGAGTCGGAAGTAGTTCATGTTCATTTTTCATTGTTCATAGTTCATTTTCACAAAATGAAAACGTTTCCTCGATGAAGACTATTATTATTTATTATAATTCCGTCGCAAGTTGACAACCAGGCTTTAGGATTCGGAAAAGAATAGCTTTTCAGACGTCTCGAAATGTCAGTTTATAACGTACCTTAAATGGATTAAATTCTGGTTGAACAAATTCCACCAACACCCCTCCACACAGGAGCACGATGTTAAGCTTTCTGGCATCAAGATTGTGCGATAGTTGTACAAGAGATACTTTGAGACATAAAAGGCCCCACAACAATAACAAAGTGGCTGAAATAAGAATGGGAGAAATTAAAGTCGACATAATTTGAATCCGATACCATTGACAAACCCCATTCTGTCTTCTGACAGGCCCAAAGCCCAAGCAATGCGGCACTCCACATTCGTACTGTGAGTTTCTATTTTTAGAATGAGTCTTATGACTGGCGAAAACCTTGTGTCTGTGGCACTCGTTATATGATTTTATACATTGTAATTCAGTGTCATTTAGAACCAAAACAATGTTTTATAAAAAGTGTCCCAAAGCTGGAGCCTCTGTGGCATTCCACATCCACCTCATGCCTCCTCCCTCAAGAAGGTGGCTTAACTAAGTAACGACAAAAAATGACAACAAAATGATATGACTTTAAATAATAATGCAGCTGTATTTTTGGATAAAGTTTACATTTGTACCTGCAGCATCAGCAGTAGATGGCCATTGATTGGTCAACACCAGCCACAGCGGTAAAATAAGAGAATCATAGACAAGAAAGAGACCTGCACCTATTCCGAAACACATCTTAACACCCTATATAATCAAACAAGAAAAAACAAAAACAGAAATAACTTTGGTGCTTTACATTAAAAATAGAAATTTTTACTTCTCCGTCACTCAAATTCCCAATTCCAATATGCTTAAATTTATAGAGACTTTTTTTCATAAAAAAGGGGAATTCTCTTTTCATAAACCAAATATGGATCCAGGATGTTGAAGATACTAGCGTTACATTACTACATCACACACGATACAAGAACTAAAGGAGTCTAAGTATGGTAGAGGGGGGGACGAGGTGCGTCATTCACTGAAACCCTTTCTCCTTGGGTGCATGTGACGTCATACTCGAGCCACATTTTTGGTTGATTTTCACAAAAGATTTGGTCTTGGTGTCTTATTTCATGTCAACCAACATGGCGGCAACGTCTTTTGTCCTTGTACATGTGACGTCATAGCCACCATGTTGGTCGACTTGAACAAGGGATTTGGTCTTGGTTATCTTTTGTCATGTCAACCAACATGGCGGCAACGTCTTTTGTCCTTTCACTGTCATGTTCTCATAGGAAAGGTCGACACATGCACCAATTGTGTCCACAAACAGCAATACATGAATGTTTTACCTCTGTAAGACTGACTGTTTTCTCGTCGTAAAAGATTAACAGTCGTAAAACAACCAAGCTGAACAGTAGACCGAGTGAAGTGGGATTGACTCGAAGGATATTGGGGAGAAGGAATCCCTGCTCTAGTGCATGTTGTGGTAAGAAGAAGTATATACACATGAATAGTTTACTACAATGGATACTTGAACACAGCCATGCTACATGCCAACTAGCCACACCAACAATGTACAACCTAATGGTAAAAAATGTCGCAAAAAGAAAAAAGCGAGGAAGAAGAAAAATGATTTTTTAGTATAACTGTACGAGGTATAAAAGTGAGGGAAAAGTGAAGCCAAAGAGGAAGGAAAAGGGAAGGTTAAAAAAGCATTTATAATCTTTTGCTGTAAAGTGCTCTGTCAAGGGTTAAGAAGCATCCTATAACAACGTATAATGGGCACCCTTGGGCGTTTCAACTGTGTTGCCTTCTTGATTACAGCATGCTAAATAATTTAGTTTCATATATTAAATTGCTTTCCAATCACACTTGCGAAATTGTACATCTTGCCATCTTGGCAAAAGGGTTTTGTTGAACTTCATTCGAAGTGTCCCTATGACATTGTTAGGAAGACAAAGTTTTCACTGGTACAGTACATGCCTATGGAATAGAAAGTCGTGGAGACGCCTTGAATATATAACGTCCACCAAAACCTACTTTGTGGCGTGAATGTATGGTGAATTGTATGACTGCCCACTTGTGATTGGGAAGCAATGGTAATTCATTTTTGATGTTATGATGAAGAACATTTTCAGTTTACACATACCTTGCAGTGACATAAATTGTTATAAGGCCTGTTAGCAATGCATAGTGTACCGAGTAAAGTTGCTGGCCCAGTAAAAGGTGCTCACATATAACCATACCTAAAATGTTTTTAAAGAAAAATAAACACTTAATAAATTCCCACATATTCGGTTAGCTCAGTTGGTTGGGCACCGGTCTATTGTGCGTGAGATCGTGGGTTCAAGCCTCTGCGCCCGAACTCACACTCAGGGCCTTAAAATATCTGAGTAGAAGGTGCTGCCTTTGCTCTAAAAATCTCTGCAAATGGTTAGACCTTCGCCGTGGATCGGATGACCACGTAAAACGGCGGTCCCGTCTTACTTAGAGACGTTAAACATAGAGGGCCACAAATTTATCAGTGCTGATTTGGCTTCTGTCTTGTGTCACCCTCTCTAAAGCAAAGACGTTATTATTATTATTATGAAATATAGTAAATGCATGAAAACCTTATCTCGTTCAATCTATTCTTCGATGATTTATTTTACCACTGTTTTCACTGCTACTGCTATGTGCTGATAGAGATTTGTCTTATGCCAACCCCCCCCCCCCTTCCGCCCCTTCATATTCCTGGTTGACCCCTTCAGTAACACACAGCTGTTATAATTACCAATAGACTGCAAAATCAAGACCAAACTGAAATGCAGTTTTTTCGTGTTATTAGACATAACAACAGCCATAGCAGACAGCACAGCCAAACTGGACATAAGAAGTATCAATAAAAGGTTATGGACAGAGGGAGTTATGAACAGGTTTCTTTTGTATTGTCAAGAAAATAATGAGCTTAATTGAGAATAAGCAGCTATAAACACCCATTAGTACAGTACTTGTGCTCTGCTATAAGCTTGAGACGTTAATAAAGTCCTTATTATATACATTGGGGAACACAAGTGGTATAGTAGTGGGGGAAGCACTCTCCTTCAAGTTTAAGACTCAGTGTCATATTGAACTAGCGTTGGTCGATGGTGGTTAATTTGTTTGTGGATGCACTTTATAAAGGATACCCAACGTTAAATACTACTGTCCACAGTGAGAATACATGAAGAAAGACAAAGAGGAGGCTTGAAACATGATGAACCTATGTGCGGAATAACAATTAATAGAATGGTTAGTGATTCTCCTGCAACCCCTTACTTCCCCCTCCTTGCCCCTCTCCTCCCCCTCCTTGCCCCTCTCCTCCCTCTTTCCTCTGCCCTCCCTGCTCTGCCCTCCCTCCTCCCTCCCTGCTCTGCTCTACCTCCTCTGCCTTCTCTCCTCTACCCTCCCTCCTCTGCCCTCCCTCCTCTGCCCTCCCTCCTCCCTCTTTTTTGCCTTTCCTTCTCCGCCCTCCCTCCTTCTTCCTCCCTTTTCTTCCCTCTCCCTTCACTTCTCTGCCCTCCCCCTCCATTCTCCCTTCTCCCCCCTCCCCCAAAATGAAAAACTTACCTTGGATTCAGCAGTTTTAGCAGATATACCCATGACCAAGCCCAGTACTGCAGAGCCTATCAATACTGGGATCACCTTGAAAGACAGCACTCCACTAGACCACATTATCACTAGGACAAGGAACTAAACAAATAGTAAATATTAAAAGTAGGTAGGTTGGTAGGTTCATTTAGGTAGGCAAAGGCAGGCAGGCAGGCAGGTAGGTGGTTAGGTACTTATGTGTGTAGTTGTGTAGGTATAGTAGGTGGGTGGTTAGGTGGGTAGGTGTATAGGTGTATAGGTGTATAGGTGTATAGGTGTATAGGTGTATAGGTGTATAGGTGGGTAGGGGGGTAGGTGTATAGGAGTGTAGGTGGGAAGGTGGGTAGGTGGGTAGGTACAGTGTAGGATAATAGGTTGGTTGAAGAGTGAACTCACCAGACTGAGAAGCCCAGATAACCATCTTACTTGTGAAACTCGTTTCGATGGAAAGTCTAGGAAATCCATGACTTCTTTTGAATCCAAACAAGTGCAGAGAAAAACTGGAAAGACACCACACAACAAAAGTTTAAGCTGAAAAAAAGAGAAAGATATTCATTACATTGTGCCCAGGGTTTGATCTGTGAGTAAACTCTGTCCTGACTTTTATCAACCCAGTGGTTTTTCCAGGAGATAGCGTAGATATAATAGTCATAATTTAAACTAGTGAATTCTCACTTTCTTAATATTATAGTCTTATACGCACTATGTGTATTTTAGCCTTTAAAAACTAGTTTTGGTGTTACTGACAACCTCTTCAGATTGGCTAGAACAGTAGATATAATTTGAGATACAACTTTTCTTACCCATGTTACCAGATGTAGAAATTCCAACAAGTAGATGATGATAAACATTGATCCAGGAATGGATAGCATGTTGAAGAAGAATAGGGTCTTCTCCATTGGTCCAAGAATATAACCTGACAATGCAATGGTTTAAAAAATAATGTATACAAATGAATGAAGGAAGGAAGGAAGGAAGGAAGGAAGGAAGGAAGGAAGGAAGGAA